TTCTATGAAATGGAATATTACTCAGCCATAAAGAATGAGAAAATAGATTAATTCATAGGAAAATGGATACATATTGAGGATATACTCCTAAGTGAAATAAATAAGTCACACATGTGTAAATACCGAATAGTTTCTCTGGTGTGGAAACTATAATAGTACATAAGATCCTAATGAGATAAAATTGACAATGTGAAATAGGAAGAAAAAGGCTAAAGGTGTAGGGAAAGTAGGAAGGGTAGGGGAAAGGTAATAAGGGAAAATAAAACCATTGAGAAAATGAAAAAATGGAAATAAAGTATTTGTAAATGGGGAGGGGAGGAGGGGGAGAAGGGAGGGCAGGGACAAGGCGAAACAATGAGAACCAAGACCTGTCATGTAAAGGTACAAGATCTCAATGATGAATGTAACTGTACTGTATAATACCTAAAATGTACCAATAAACTCAATTAAAAAAAATAAAGTACTAGGGCCGGGGATTTAGCTCAGCAGTTTGGTGGCCTGCCTTGCAAGCACAAGAACCCAAGTTCAATCCCAGGTACCAAAAAAAAAAAAAAAAAAAAAAATCATAGACTGAAAGTTAAAAGATACAAAACAATATTCCATGAAACAGGAACCTGGAAAAAAGAGGGTTAGCTATTCTATTTGAAGACAAAGTGGACTTTAAGTCAAGACTGATTATGAGAGACAAAAGAAGATCACTACATCCTTGTTAAGGGAAGACTTCAAGAGGAATAGATGACAAACATAAATATATATGCACCAAATACCAGCACAATCAACTATATTAATCAAATATTAATGGAAATGACAAATCAAATAAGCACTAATACAATTGTAACAGAGGATCTCAATAGCTCACTGTCACAAATAAATCAACTAGACAGAAAAATCAAGAAATATCAGAACTGAACCAAATGTTTGAACAAATGATTTAGTAGATGTCTGTAGACTATTCCATCCCACAACATTGGAATATACATTCTTCTCAGCTACACAAAGGACATTCACCAAAAGAAATCACATACTAACTCATAGAACATGCTTAAGTAAAATGCAAATGAATTAAAATTATCCCATGCATATTGTAAGACCATAGCGCAATGAAATTGGAAATCAATGGCAAAAGAAACCACAAGAACTTCATAAATACATGGAAATTAAATAACACCGTCCTGAACAACCAATGGGTCACAGATGCAATTAAAGAAGAAACCAAACAGTTTGTACAATTAAAGGATAATGGCAGTACAATGTACCAGAATTTATGAGACAGAGTGACAGCAGTCCTCTGAGGGAAATTTATAATGGTAAACTCCCACATCAGAAAAATACAACAAGCTCAAATAAATAACCTAATATCTAAACTCAATCTTCCAGAAAAGAGCAAGTCAAGCCCAAAGCTCACACAAGAAAGGAAAGTACAAAGATTAGAGAAGAAATTAATGTAATTGATGCTAAGTAAACAATATAAAAAATCAATTAATCATAGTTAGTTCTTTGAAAGATTAAATAATACTGATAAATATTTAGCCATACTTTTCCAAAAAAGAAAAGACCAAAATCCATGAAATTAGGAACAGAAAAGGTGAAAGCACAGTGTGTCTTGCAGCAATCCAGAAGACCATTAATACCTACTTTGAGAACATGTATCCTAGTAAGATCAAAAACACAGAAAAAATGGACAGATATCTAGATACATAGAAACATTCTAAATAACTCATATCAGTGAATGAAGTTGAATATGTACTTAAAAACCTACCAACTGCTGTATTCTACAAGAAATTTAGAGATCAAATGCTACTACTCTCAGACTCTTTAATAAAATTGAAAAGGCAGTAACACCTGCAAACTCATTAGTGGAAGCAAGCATTACCCAGATATCAAAACGAAAGAAGATGGCTGGGGATTTGGCTCAGAGGCTCTGCTAAGTTCTTTGCAAGCAGAAGGGCCCCAGTTTGATCCCTAGTACCAAAAACAAAATAAAACAAAACAAACAAACAAAAAACAGAGAAGGATCCAACCAAAAAAGAGTGCTACAATCCAGTCTCCCTAATGTACATAGATGCAAAATACAGTAAGTCATCAAGATTAAACACCATGGCCAGGCAGAATTCATCCCAGGGATTCAGGAATAGCTCAACATATGCAAATCAATAACTGTCATACACCATATTAACAGAGCCAAAGACAAAACCCACATGATAATCTCAATAGATGAAAAAAAAAACATTTGACAAATTCCAACAACCATTCATATAAGAAAAAAAAATCTACAGAAAATTGGAATAGATGTTTTTTATCTCACTTTGATAAAAGCCATCTATGACAAACCAACAACCAGCATCATACTAAATGGTCAAAAACTGAAAGCTTTCACTGTAAAACCAGGAACAAGACAAGGATGTCCATTATCACCACTCCTATTCAATATATTTCTGAAAACATTAGGTGGAGCAATTAGACAAGATAAATAAATAAAAGGAATAAAGATAGAAAAGGATGAAGTTAAATTATCATTATTTGCAACTGATACAATATTCTACAGAGAAGACTCTCAAAATTTCACCAGGAAACTCCTAGATTTAATAACTAAATTCAGTAGGATACATGGACACAAAATCAACATTCAAAAATCAGTAGCATTCCTGCACACAAATAACAAACTCACTGAAAGAAAATTTAAGGAAACCACACTTTTCTCAATAGCATAAAAAAATGAAATACTTAGGAATCCATCGGATGGAGGAGATAAGAGAACTTTACACTGAAAACTATAGTACTCCAAAAAAAGAGATTGAAGAGGGTATTAGAAAATGGAGACACATCTGTCCTTCTTGGGTAGGAAGAATCAATATAGTGAAAATGGCTATACTTCCTAAATTGCTATACATATTTAATACAATTCTAATAAAAATACCAACAGTATACCTCACAGAATTAGAGAAACCAATCCCAAAATTCATTTGGAACCAGAAGAGACCTAGAATAGCAAAAGCAATTCTGTACAACAAAGGCAAGGCAGTGGCCATCACAGTCACTGACTTGAAATTATACTCCAGATCTACAGTGATAAAAACAGCATGGTACTGGCAAAAATAAAACCAAACCAAACCAAACCGAACCACAGAACTGAGGATCAATGGGACAGATTAGAAGACACAGAAACAACTCTAAACATACTCAGCTAATTTATCTTTCACAAAAAGGCTGCATATCTTCACTGGAAGAAAGACAGCCTCTTTAATAAATGGTGCTAGAAAAACTGGTTTTCCACATACCAAAGATTAAACCTAGACCTGTATTTCTCACCACACCCTAATCTCAAATCAAAGTAGATCAAAGGCCCAAATATTAAAACAGAAGTCCAGCCCTATTTAAAAGTAGAATAGGTAGAACTCTTGAAGATATAGGTGTAGGCAAAGACTTTATGAGAAAAACTCCAATTACAAAGGAAATAATATAGTCAACACATGAGATCTCATCTTGTTAAAGAGCTTTAGCACAGCAAAAGAGACAGAGTGAGAAACAATCTACAGAGTGGGAAAACTTCTGCTAGCTGTTCCTCAGACAAAGGGCTAACATCTAGAATATATAAAGGACTCAAAAATATCAGACCCCCCAAATTTAAAGACCCAATCCAAAAATGGGCGTCTGAAATGAATACAAATATGAACTTCTCAGATGAAAAAGTAGAAATGGCAAACAAATATATAAAAAATGTTCAACACCACTTGTCATTTGAGACATGCAAATTAAAACAACACTGAGGTTCCATCTCACTCCAGAAAGACTGTCTATTATGAAGAAATCAACCAATAACGAATGCTAGAGGGATTGTGGGGAAGAAAGGAACCCTTTTCTACTGTTGGTGAGAGGGTAGACTGGTGCAACCACTGTGGAAATCAGTGTGGAAATTCCTCGAAAAACTAAAACTAGAGGCTCCATTTGACCCAGCTATTCCTCTTATTGGTATCTTCCTGAAAGAATTGAAAGCATCATGTCACAGTGATATATGTACACTCATGTACATATGTTTACAGCAGCACAATCTATAATAGCTAAATCTTAGAATTAGCCCAAATGCTCATCAATAGATGAATGAATAAAGAAAATGTGGTATTTTTATACAGTGAAGTATTTTCTTCTATAAAGAAAGATAAAATGAGATTTAAAGGAAAATGGATGCACCTTGAGGCCATACTTTTTTTTTTTTTTTTT